GAGTGAGTGAGTGAGTGAGTGAGTGAGCGAGTGAGTGAGCGAGTGAGTGAGCGAGGGAGTGAGTGAGTGAGTGAGAGCGAGTGTGGGTGGGAGTGGGTGAGAGCGAGTGTGGGTGGGAGTGGGTGAGAGTGAGGGTGAGAGGGAGAGTGAGTGAGTGTGAGCACGTCAAGGTCCACGAAGTGCTGCGCCTGCCACGAAATCTGCACTGTGAAGTTCACAAAGTGCTGCGCCACGAAATCTGCACTTCGAGGTTCACAAAGTGCTGCACCTGCCACAAAATCTGCACTTCCAGGTGCACAAAGTGCTGTGCCTGCCGCGAAATCTGCACTTCGAGGTTCACAAAGTGCTGTGCCTGCCACGACATCTGCACACCAAGGTCCACGAAGTACTGCGCCTGCCACGAAATCTGCACATCGAGGGTCACAAAGTGCTGCACCCGCCACGAAATCTACACGTCGAGGTTCACAGAGTGCTGTGCCTGCCACGAAATCTGCAAACGAGCCACATGTCCAAAAGCCACGATTCACTGCACCTGTCACGAAATCAGAGCGCCTCAACGATCACCACCATGTCCAAAGTGCTGCACCTGCCACGAAATCTGCACTTCGAAGTAAAACCGCTCCGATCCCTTGCACCTGTCACGACATGTCGACTTTTTGGACCCCCAAAAACACGAGGTTACCACCCAGAACTCACCAGCCTGCGCAGTCGAAATGCACTTCGACGATTTCGAGAGCAGCGAATTAGCTGGACACGCCCGCGCGCCCAAGCGATCTAAGCACAGCTGCTTAACTATGACCGTAAGAACCCCTAAGTGTGTCCACACTCCTGTCTTTGACGCACAGATGTAAAACGTCCTCAATTTTGCCAAGAGCAGGAGGACTTTAATGTTCAACACCTACTGTATCTTTTTGGGGGGGGCTGTACCTGGGTCGCCCACATACAAACACGCGCCTGGGCGACAGAGCGCCCGCGTGAGCGATCGCCTTTTGCGAGCGGTTGCCCTACGATATTTCGGTTAGAAAGAGACCTCGCACCGAAATCTTAGTTTAAAAACATAAAGGGCTTGTAGTTTTGGCTACTACCCCGTACTACTTCAAACAAAAGCCAAAGTCCATCCTTTTGGCGGCATTGGTCTTTAGATCTGTTGTTTGTTGTGTGTCTTTTAAATATATTATATAGACGTTTCCTGATGTTCTTCTGTTATCTTCCGTTATTCCTCTTCTTTGTTCTTTTGACCTTTAAACAACACACTCTTGTGGGTGTTTCGATGTGGTTCTGCAAGGGGCCTTCCAAACATGTGATACAGGCGGCCCCCCCCACGTGTCACAAGTGTGATGACCCCAACACACTCCTTCACCGGATGTAATTTTGCCCCTTTTTGCAACAGAACATATAGGCCCATGCCCACCGGAGTGGTTTCCCACCCGCGATTGTTCTTTGCGGCCTCACAGTCAGCGTCACCTGGCAAACCTAGCTTCATGCTTAGAGGCAAGGCCGAGGCCACAACACTTATTGCGCCTTGAATCTTGTGGGAAGACCCTGTCATGGTCCAACTGCTTTAAGGCTCAAGGCTCAAGGCTAATCACTCGCTGGGTATTAGATGGTATGAGGTTGATGGATGTTGATTGGTTTTTGTTGCCCGTTGTCCTACCGGCGTATACACATTGTGTTGGTACGGAAGGATGTATGCAAACGAGAGATTTGTGAGGAGAACTTTTGTGAGGAGAACTCACGATTGGTTTCTCCAAGACATTACAATCAGACAAATCATCATGTCTTGGAGAAACCAATCGTGTTGTAACCAGTGGAAGTCTGTATTCCCAGACCAGGCAAGATCTCCTTCTGCCGGAAGACCATCCCGCTGTAGTGAAAGACTTGGCTGCAAGTGAAATGGCCCCTGCCAATCAGGGCTAAAAAGCTACTTGGCTTCTAACAGCTTACTTATTTGCCATTATCTCTGGTTTCCCTACTTTTGAAAGAAGCTGCTATCTTGTGATTCATCCCAGCATCCTTCATTAGTTACATAACAAAACCATGAACTCATGACAACCGCACATACCTGAACAACCCATGACAGCCCAGAACATAGCAATACCCATTCTTAACACAAAGGACACATTTCATTTGGTGCAAAGAGTAATCTGCGTTGATTGATTTTACCGCTTGGGATCGTTCAAGAGCGTCAAGAGGAAGGAACAAATCCAGGTCCCAGGTATGCAGAATACACTAAACACATAACCATACATAACCAATCTACATTTCAGTGTAGTGATGCAAATCCCACCGCTCTTTGCATGTGAAGTGTGGCCTAGCTTAGACAGTGACTTCCACTCTTCTCCTCCTGAGGTTGTTCGCTTCCCCAATTGCCCCTCAATCAAGCCTTTCCCACAGTCGCGCACGCTGCTATGAAGACATATGGGGACAGTGAGACGAGCATCTATGTACAAAATCAATCTGAAAAAGCAATGTTTTTGCAACGTGCTTGGACTGGATGGCTCCACAGATCGTTGGAATCATAGATTTATATGAGGTACATCTGCCATGTCTGTGGTTTCTCGCCGTGCTGGCAAGACATTTGTAGTGATATTATAAAGGATTATGTTGAGTGAATGAGCGAGTATGCCTGCAATACATTGTGAAACAGCTGACGCGCTCTCACCACGGCCAGCCTGAGCGCAGTCGCGTCAGCATGCTCATTTCAGGGCCATGCTGCGCGTCGCCGGCATCTTCGGGGAGCCCATCTTCTCCCACCCAGGTCCGAGGATGAAGCTTGGGTGGGGGTGCACTATAGCTTGCATGGCTTGGCACATGCTTGGGACTAGGAGCTAACCATTCGAGACCGGTTTAGATCAAACCAGCATCTGTTGTCAATTGTTGCCACTTTGACCCTGATTGGAGTGCCAAGAGTCCGATTTGTGGAGAGGTACCCACAACCTCCTGGCAAATCGGGATGTGATTTCTCCATTGGTCAATGATCAATGTGGGGAACTTATATTGCATATACACATATGTGTATATATATATATATGTGGAGTGTCTGGGTACAGTCAGAAGTCGAAGCACCCGTCATGCCAAGTCGTCAGGGATGGGCCGTTCGACGGCTGCTCTGCCCAACCCAAGCGCCCAAGCGCTCAGTACTATACCCAGACAGTCCAAAAACAACGGAACATTCACTTATTACATTGACCCCTTTTCAACCTGTATGGGGCACATGCCAGCTCCATGGAGTGTTCGAGACAGAGTTCATCACAAAGCCAGGAAGCCCAGCGGCAAGCCGCTGGCGGCTCCCCCGCCAGGATCCCATGCGGAGTGACCTGATCGCGGGAGGCCGTGAGGAGTGACCTGATGACCTGAGAGTCAGGAGTGATCTCATGGCACTTGGGTTATGTATGATGGTTACACTCCCATGACAATGGTAACCTGGAAGATTGTTTTCCTCTACCAACCAGTGTTTTTCAGGTTCTATGTTAGTTTTCGGGGGTGTATACAAACATGCGTCGGATGCAGCTCCCAAGGAGGTAAACACGTACGTGATTCCTCATCCTCGGATGCCATCTACGAACCCATGGCATGCCAGCACTTCACCTGGCAAACACGTTCCACCAACACTCAGGACACCCTTGCAACAGAGCCCTGCTCTCATGGTGATGCAAATCAAATCCCAGTTTAACACATCATGAATCCCATGGTCCCACAAGTTGAGGTGGACCAGCTTTGAGGGAGTGACAAGAGCCCCCCATGCACACAGGAGATCCAAGCATTTTGGATATCCCAAAACGAGTTTCCAGACGAAGTCCAAATCCATTGCAGTCCAAGGACCATGCTTCCAGTCTAATCAAAGACACCAAAAAAAGAGACTGGGTGGCTCAGGTGGGGTGGTACAAGACTTGCATTTGACTGATCGAAACCATCTACCTGAGCTGGTGCAGGGGTCTGAACACCATATCCATCCATAGACGAAGAAAATGGTCCTTGACCGTTTTGGCGTGACCGGACCGAGTGAAGGATTTCAAGACAATAGTTGATGCTCCATATGTTGATGTCTTTTGGGACAGAACCTCTTCCAAAGTTTGGTCCAACACCCCAGGCGTTCCACGTATACTCAGAACGCTCAGAAGGTGTTGCTGTAGGCTTGGAGCGCTTGGAGGGTCCAACTACCTTCGCTTTATTTGTCTTCATTGAAGGCTAAATGGACGGTGTGTGGAGAAAGGGGGTCAGCAAAACCCGCGCCTTCCACGACATTAGGAGAATAGGTTTTTGCAAAACCCTTTCTGTGCATTGCCCATCATTGCCCTTCCGTTTGCCTTTGTCTTCATAGGGAGGGGACGTGGATGATTTTTGCATCTCCGATCTTCCGATTGGCCTAGCGGCCTAGCGCCACCGGAGCATCCTGCAGGGGGGAGATGTTTTTGCTGCGGCACCGAAACGCGGAATCGCAGAACTGCAGAACCGGAGTCGGATTGTGGGATGACGCGTAGGCGGTCTGTATACCGTTGCGTTTTCCGGTTCTATGAATCACAGGCATTGTGGGGCTATGTGAGGCTGGATGATGTTTCGACCGCAGAAGGAGACATAATGCACTGAAAATGTTTCCCTGTAGGCCCTGTAGCAGCCGAGCATGGGAACAACTGAACGAATTGAATCGGGAGACGGAGACTCCAGCTACATGACTATTTGGACGACCAACGTCGGCCCACGTCCAAGGGATCCATCCTGAAATGGTGCATGTCGGCGTTGAAAAGGGAAGGGAGCATAGCCATCCCAAGCCAGAGGTGACACGTCAACAATCAGCTTGTTCAAATAGATGATGATAGAAGTACAATATAACCTCTTCTCACAGGGGCAGCAATATCCCTCAAACAAAAAGGCAACTACCCAGCTCATGTCGGAGTCATCGATCCATACCTAAGCTTCCAGTCCCCATCTATATTGTCCTCTTTTGAATTTCAACTTCGAAAATACGGCCACCTTTGTTTCACTCCTTGAGGATCGAAAGTTAGCTCTATATGCTAACATTTGGGGTTGTGTCTTCTGGGGCTCTCCGACCTCACCCTGTGAGGTCCGACCTCCAAAAACCACAAAACCACAGAACCCAAAAACCACAAAACCAACGATCCCAAATTCAAATTCGTCACGGGTTGTCACGCTGGAGTCCGACAATGATCTCATTTTTAAAGGGACAAAATAGACCAATCACGGTCTGTCACGGTCTGTCACGGTTCGTCACGCCCTGGTATGCTTGGTTCTTGGGATTTCATGGTCTTATCCTCCGACAATGATACTGGAATTGTATATACATTTCAGGTACCCCAATCTGTGATTCGACAACGTCTTCAAATAACACGATCAATAGAAACGTATGCATATCCTGAGATCATTTCTATTTGTGACCTATGTGTGGTCATGGATCGTCAGGGACTGGTCCTCTGATTGGCCAGAGGTCAACTACTATAGCCCTAGTGGCACCTCTGTTCATATAGTTTCCCCCTAAGTGAACTTTGTATGCCGACATCCGATATCCTGAAAAAACAAATCAAACAGGCACGTTTAACTTACACCCGTGATGACCCGTGACCCCTCCTCACTCCTTTTGGACCAGGCCTAACCCGGGCCGAGTTTCGAGGTCTAGGGTCGTTCACCCGGCGCCCTGGTCTTCAGGTCCGGGCTGGCGGGAATTCCGGTCCAAAACGAGGTCCTGTCTTTGTGTCGTGGCGAAGTGAGTTGGAAGGGTCAACCTGTTCGATCTTCCAGATCCATAGGGAACATAGGGGGAACATAGTGGGAACTCTTGGACAGCCCCAAAATGTCAGAGGTCGACCTCTTGTACCATTTACATACCACCTAGACATATCGATACCCACATCTGTATTTTTTCCGAACCACAAGAGACACTCAACCTGATCGCCCGGTTGCCTGGTGAGGCCATTCCCCGTGGCAGCTGTGTTCGCTGGCTGCCTCAGTGTCGCACAGTCAATGTCTCAGCAGCGATAGTGTTGACGGTGGGTGGGCGTGACGAAAATGAGTGAACCCAAAGACAAACAGAACCAACAAATGAAAATTGAAACGATAACAAAATTGACAGAATCAACAAAACTGAATACATTCGACATGTGGCTGTGGGCCAAGAACCGGACACAATGGTTAACATTGCAAATGCAATCGCAAAAACATGCATATCATATGAGTTCGGCAATCGCAAAAAATGGGGTGCACAATTGAACAATCCAGTTGTATTTTCTTGCAGTTCATGTATTGTCAATCACTTTTCGCAGCGAACAGTCAAAAAACAACGCATTGCATTTTGCAAACGTGATCCGGAGGGACTCCAAGACAGCGTTGCGAATAACGCAACGTCATGGACACAAACGACAAATCACAAACCACAAATTACGCTCACGGTCAGGGGTCTATGGAGACACAAACGACGAATCACGAATCACGAACCACGTTCAGGGTCACGGATCCTGAGGTTGTAGAGTCGCAAACGACATCACGAATCACGAAGACCAAGTCACCAAATGAATCACTAATCACGAACCATGAGTTACAAATCATGAATCGCGAATAGTTCGGCTTGGCAACGAATCACGAACCACAATCACGAAACTACAGTAATCACGAATCACGCGGCTGAGTAACGAATCACGAATCACGAAATGAATCAATCAAGCGGCTGAAAACGACTTCTGCGATCACCACTCGCACTTTGCATCACACTTACTGGTTTGTACAGCGTGCAAGTGTTAATAAGTTTTGCGCGTTGCCTTTTGGATCTCTTGTCTGGTTTTGGCGGGTCACTTCTCTTGCCTTGCATTTTGGATCACAGTTTGTAAAACTAGCAATCAAATAAACTTTTGCTCTATTTCAGCATTCACATGTCCTTTCAACAATGCGTGTTCAATCGCATTATCCCAACACCAGCAAACACATTAAATCGCGCGTTCAAGACATTGTTCCCCACCTGTCAGGTGAGGGTTGTTAGATTTTTACAGAATGCCTTATCCTCCTCCTTCTCCTCCGCCTCTGCTCCGGAAATCAACAGCAACTGCCAGATCGAAGTGGGCCGTCTCGGACCTCAACCGCAACCGGACCTCAACCGCAAGTGCCTCATCGCAGTGGGCACTATCCGGACCTCAACCACAAACAAACAACATACACACAATACACAGCCGCAACCACAAAGTCACAAACACACAACCACAAACGCAACCACACAATCACAAACACACAGCCACAAAAACATCAATCGCAAACACAAAACCACAAGCACAACTTAAAAAAAATCACAGACGCAAACCAAAACAAACACAAACGCAATCACAAACACACAATATCACACAATCGCAAACACAATCACAAACACAGAAGCACAACCACAAACACACAGACCACGAACAACATACACAAACACAACCACACAAACACACAGCCACAGACACACAATCAGTAACACAACCACAAACACACAAACACGAGCACAAACACACAACCACAATTAAACACACACAACCACACAACCACAAACACAAGCCACAAACAACATACACAAAAACAAATCACAAACACACGGCCACACGCGCACAAACAACATACACAAAACACAACCACAACCACCACCACAACCACAACAACAAACACACCCCCGAACACAATCACAAAGCACACAGCCACAAACACACAATCACAAAAGTTATACAAGCATAGACCCCAAACAGCTTCAAAACGATTCGTTTAGACCAATATTAGTCAAAAATCGATTTCTTGGTTCGCCCTACTTTCATCCCAAGAGCAAACTGCTTCATCAATGAACTTTTGTCGGCATTGACATCGCTATTTGTTCGGCCACACTCCTCTCCAGTAAGCCGGGCCACAGAGACCAGCCACAGAGTTCAGGGGCGCGGCCAAGAAGACCCGGACACAGAGCCGGGCCACAGAGCCCAGCCACAGAGTTCAGGGGCACGGCCAAGACAAGGACAAGAAGAGGACGAGGCCCAGCAAGAGGAGGACAAGAGCCCAGTAAGCCGTCCATAGCACACAAGTGCGCGCGCGCGCGCCCTGCTCTCTCTCTCTCTCTCTCTCTCTCTCTCTCTGTCTCTCTCTCTCTGTCTGTCTGTCTGTCTTTATTTCTGTCTTTCTGTCTTTCTTTCTTTCATTCTTTCATTCTTTCATTCATTCATTCATTCATTCTTTCTTTCTTTCTTTATTTCTTTCTCGCTCTGAGCGCGCCTTTCTGGAGCGTATGTCAGCGCGTGCACCACAGAACCCAGCCACAGAGCCCAGCCACACAGCCCAGCCACAGAGTTGACAGAGTTCAGGAGCGCGGCCAAGAGGAGGACAAGAGGAGGACAAAGGCCCACAGCCACAGAGCCCAGCCACAGAGTTGACAGAGTTCAGGGCACCGGCCAAGAGGAGGACAAGAGGAGGACAGGGTCAGCCACAGAGGCCAGTTAAAGAGCCCAGCCACAGAGCCCAGCCACAGAGTTGACAGAGTTCAGGGGCGTGGCCAAGAGGAGGAGCCACGGAGCCCAGCCACAGAGTTCAGGTGCGCGGCCAGTGAGTGTGGCCAGCTCTTTTCTTTCTAAGATAGAACCCCAACAGTAAACTGCTTGGGGAAAAGACACAATCGCAAAAAAGCACAACCACAACAATATAGTTACCTGCGTGTGTGGCATTTGGCGTGGCAGGTGGTCACAGGGTAGCACTTTTGGACGCCAACTGGAGACCCTGCACCACCCCGACGTGAACTCCCTAACATTCAAACAACAATCCCAAACCCGAGGACCCACAAGCAAAATCGAAAACCACAAAACCCACGACCGTGGCAACATGCTCCTCACCATGGCATGAAAACAAAAGATTGAAATGTCATTGTGGGGATCACTCGAAGTAAAATATTGTTTGGCAGCTAGGTGGTGACAAAAGCAAAACCTTATGGTCTTGAAAGCCTACCTATACTTGGGCATTCTCAGTTGTAGTTTTTTGAGCTCTCGGATTGATGGACATCCGTTCATGGACATCCGAATCGGTTCCTTCAGCCACGTGCCGGCGATGCCTTCGTTGTGAGACACGCTCTTCCGCCTCGATGTCTTCCGATCCGAACACCCACGAAGACCAAGGCCGCCACTTCGCGGGGCCGCTTCTTGACCCTAGCTGCATACTTGCGTAGTTTTGCCCACTGCTTATCCTGGCGTCCAAGTCGACTGTCTTGTCCTCGGCGTGCTTTTCACGCCTGGAGGAGGCCCAAAGTCGAAGACCACGGCAAAGAGTGTCAAATTTTCCAGCCGGTGCCGGGGGCCTTCTGGGAGAGGCAGCGCGGCACCGAACCATATACGCAGCTTGCATGCAATGCTTCTTTGCCCACTTGCGTAGCTTGGCCCACTCCCAAACTAGTCACCAAGTACTCGCTGGGCCCCCTGCTGCGTGGAGCCGCTGGTCCTCTCTGAGGCACGACGCGCTTCGCCTGGCGTCCACCCAAGAAAAACTGTCCCAACGAACAGTGTTTGGGAATCCCACCTCTTCTTGGCATATTGGCCCATTGCGCCGCCACCACCTCACGGATGCTGCGAACGCCCTTCTTCTTGGAGGTGCGCCTCCAAGTCAGGCTCCGGCACCGCCCGGCTGGCGCCCAATTGGACGCGAAGCCTCAACTGGTCACCAAGGCTGCCACGTGTCGCACGCTTGTCAGCCCTGCTCTGACATTGGACGTGTCCATTTGGAGCGCCCAGTGCTTGATCTTTTTAACGGCAACCGCCTGGCATCCATCCAAGAGTAACTTTCTCAATGAATAGAGTGCAAGCAGACATTCCTGCTGCCACCATCTCTGAAGGCGGACCACCAGGTGGTGCTTTGGCTGGGGGAGTAGTGGGATCTGGAAAGCTGCTGACTGGAGGACAAAGAAGTGGTGGTTGGAGGGTGAGCCTTCCTCCTTGGTGGTGTCCTCTAGTTTAACCTCCGTAGTGAGGGAGGTTTCTGATTTGGTGAGTGTGGGCTCGAAGGTCTCTTCCTTGGTTTCCCCGTCTGCGATTCGAGCACCTGGATCTTCGGCTTCCACACTTTCTCCTGGCAAACAGCGGCTACACAATCAGCGGCTACACTTCCAGGGGCCAATTCAGAAAATCCCTGTGGCGGGTACCAGTTCTTCAGTGAGAACCTGGCTGTTGCCACACTCCGAAGTCCAAACTCAACGCTCCACCTCCATGAAGGTTCTACGTATCCAAAGGGATTATGAATATGCCCTGGCACGCGCCTCCCTCTGCGCCCACCCTCTGATTGCTTCGAGGGCGGCCATCCAAGACCTCTGATCTGCATCCATGGGGGGTCTAGGTGCACAAACATGATGCACGTACAGCCTCGGGGATTCCATTCTAGAACCCTGGCTTTTGTATTCTACAATGTCTACAATGTTGTGACCGGGGTCCCTGTACAGTAGCTGCACGTATCTATGGTCGCCCTCGCGGCCAGGGCCGCTAGGAGGACACAGGGTCGGCCACAGCGCGGCCAGAGGACAACTGGAGGCCAAGCAGAAGACAACAGGGTTCAGTGTCTCTTTTCAGAAGGACAACACATCACCAACTGCATCACAAATCCTCCAGCAGAAAGAAATAACACCAATAAGAACGTGCATTTTGGACATCCGGTTCGCATTTGTCGATCGAAATTTGGTGTTATCCAACAGCGAGAATCAGGACAGCGACAACAATGCATATGGCATCGCCGGTTTGCGAAGCTCTACAATAGTGGACACATAATCAGAAACCGTAAAACTTACCAACTTGTACCACGATTGGATTTGTGAAGGTGAGCTTCAGAAAGACCGTTAGACTCAAACACGGATTCTGAGGGAATCTCGTGTAGGCAGTAACAATCCTCCTTTGGGCGGAAAAAAGTGCCGGACCTCAATCCGGCAAAATGTTCCGCCGGATTCCGAAAAAAACACCGGAGACCTGAAAAAACATCCGGATCCAAGATTCTGCAAAAAAGATATGATAAAAGGTTGGATGATACACAAGCAAACTGCCTTTGCGCCACGAGTAGTTCTTTATGGAGCGCACTCATTCCACAACCCAACACTAGAGCCTTCCCGTTCCCATTGCCCTCGCCCATCTTCCGAATGGCCTAAGGGCAGAACCATCACAAAATACAAGCAAACTTGTGCCCAAGCAAAGACTTCCAAGAAGAAACCAAGGAGTATGTGGCAAGGAGCCCCTCTTGCTCTGCAAAAACTTTTGCTTCAAAACCATCAGAAGACTGAGTCCCAAAAAATACGCCGGAGTTACGGGAAATTACGCCGGAGTTACGACGCGCCATTCTTTAGCAACTCTCTGCAAAACATTGAGATTCTGAACAACACATGTTCCACAGCCCAAAACTTGTCTGGCAGGCTCTGCAAACCTGCACAGCTAGAACTTTATCCCAGCGCCCCGACATCCTGAAACAATGGGAGTACATTTTTGCCTATGTTCTTTCAGCTTAGGTACACCCACTTGGGTCTTTCAACACATGCATCGCACTGTACCGATTTCATCCGATTTCATTTAGAAGATCACCTAAACGCTGATTGATCCAGTGTGAGTCATGCTGAAGCCGGTGGAATGAGAAAACAGCGGAACAGCCAAACGAGTACGCTTTGCAAGCAAAATCATTGCATCAGCAGTGGGTTTACCTTCAAAGAAATGGGGACCACAACGAATGCAAAGACTTGAGAATCCACATAAGGTGACTTGGAAAAACTGCCGGACCAAATCCAGAAAAACGCCGGAGTTGGACTTCGAAGTCCGGCGCCGGACCCTGTAAAAGTGCCGAACTGAAGATCTAGGTATAGAGACATTTGCAAAGATTGCAACCGTATCTAAGAAGGTGCACATTTCCCCAATCGACTGTTGTCGACAACTGCGCACCCAGTCAAAAATTGTCTTCCCGCAAAACAAACCCAGAACATATTGACGCGCTGATCAGCAGTGAAGGCAAGTAAACCCAGCGCTTCAAAAAGAGCAGCTACTGTATATCTGGATCGGAGCAAGATGTTGCGTATACATGACGGTCCGCCAAGACTAAGACAGAACATGTTCCAACGAGTGAATCTTCTGGGCATCACGGCCGTCCCGCGCTGGTCCTTCGCCCTCGCTGGGCCGAACGTTGAGGGATTTTTGTGTCACCCGTTCGGCCCAGCTACACAGAACTTCTTGTGGAACCAGGAGAATGGAATTGGATACTTGTGAAGGCAAAAGATACTATTACATACTATTACTACATAGTACTAGTACACCACATGTCACCACATAAAAGGTTTGGATGGTCCTTACCTTTCGTCTACCTAATTACTTGCGATTGATAGATCTTCGAAAGGTTCTATATAATCATATATAATCCAGAAACCCTCCACCGGGGCGGCACCTTGGACCGACGCAAGGGCACCGTTGGTCAAGGGCGCAAGAGCAAACGGCTATGCTCAACAGCAACCAACACCTAAAACTCCAAAACCACAGGATCAGCATGGAATAGAGGTGCTTTCCTAGATGATGTTCAATACTGCATACGTACCTGATCTGGAGAACAAACAGGAGCCGCGAGGGAAGAAAACAGTGTGACAGCTAGTAAGGGTATCAAATCACCAAATCAACTTTCTGGATGGAGGAGGAGACCAAGTTGGCTCAACCTTTCGCCGTTCCACCTGCTCAGAAGCTGCACCGGAGCTTTCCTGTTCATCATCAGTTTCTGCAAGAAAGAGGAGCTGAGTTTCAGGCCCGGGGTTTTCAGGAAAACAAGCGCGCGCAGCCCCGAAGGTTGTGCTTCGATGGGAAGCACATACCCTTGCGAACCACAAACCACCCTCTGTCACCAACATGGAAGCCGAAGTTTGTTGGAGGAATAGGCATCAAATCACCCTGGTGAACAAAAACAAATCATCCTTCGCCCAACGAATCTTCAGCATCAGCATCCCACACTTCCTTCGCCCAGTGGCACTCGTTGGGGAGCAGTGATATTCCTCGGTCTGGACCAGCCGCACGGTGGGGGAGCAAGGGTCGACCGGTCGGAATGAGGTGGCGCAAGGGCGCAAGGGTCGACCGGTACAGCAGCAATTGGCGTCCCAAAGGTTGAATCCGTTGAACCATGTTGAACCCAAGCCCAAGCTCGCTCGGAAGGGGGTGTTGAACCATGTCTTTCAGCCCAAACCGAGCAGCAAACGTGTCCACCACTGTACCTATATTGCCAGTACAGTAATAGTGGATGACTAGTAAAGTGATTAGCTTGTTTACCGACGGCCCTACAGGCAAGAACGGCCAACCGAAAAAGAAAAACGGAATCTGTCCAACATGGCGGTGTGCCATGCTGCGTGGTGTTGCGGGTCGGGTGGGAAACCCACGTTGATGGATCGGAGAGTAAACATGTTCGATGAGCCCATCGCTTGCAGAAACCAGATGATAAGTGGCTTCCGGGTTTCGCCCCAAATCACACTTTGCTTGGAACTATTCATATCCTGAGGCTTGGGCTTCCCGAGGCCTATTGATGTCTTATTATGATGTCTCTATTTGAATTATTAGACTCTTAATAGGGCTGGGCTGGACATGACTTTTTTGGAAGCGTACCCACAGCTAATGGAGCCTGTGAATGTGTAAGAATTCACAGGTGCAGGAAACAGAGTTTGCTCTGTCTGACATATATGCTACTTCAAAAACTATCCAAAACTATGTACAGTTTGCACCGTTGAAGCGCACAAGACTCATCAAGCCCACGAGTAAGAAGGATCAATTGATTCTGGACATTGATGTCACGCCAACAAAAGCCCTAGGGAAACCCAATGCTCATAACAGACCCACACTAAATATAGTGGTCCCCAAGTAGATAGAAACGGTTTCCAATACATGTTTAGTGGGGATCTATTGGGGGTCTACAAACGAGGTCCCATTCCTCCATGTCGACCCCCTGCCTCACCCCTTGCTCACCGATCGCTGAGAGTCTGCTTACAAATTGGACACTCGGCGCTTCGTGCGAGCCATTGGTCGATACAGTGCTGGTGATACCTGCCCGCGCACAGCGAACGGCTCACGGGTCCTTTGGGGTGAGGTGCTGACACCTTGCCAGCGTTGGTTTTGAGCCGACAGTTTGACACCTCAGGAAGGTGAAACAAACCCATGGTGATGGTTATCGATGGTTGAAAAACGCAACACACCTGTGAAAATGAACGCAGAAGACATCAGAAAACCGAACGCATGCGATGTTCATACTGAATCAGCTACTGCGAGCTGATTCCATCCTCCCTCCTCGCCTGTGCAAGCAAGGCAGGCTGCGCCTGAGACCCGTCCGGTGTAGTGCACTGTGCGGAATCTTCGTGCAACAGGAAGATGGAAGTGGATGACCCTGGTGCAACTGGCGGCTGTTCCTGTCTTTATCATGGGCCAACATGGATGGCATCACCCCTGAAGACTCGGATGACCATGAGTCTTCCGAAGACGTTTCCCACTTCCGTGAAATCCGTCCAGGCAACACGTATAGATGTCCGGATGATTCCAAGTTCGGCATTGGATGTCGCATTCGTCACCACGATGCCTGTCCTCTAAGCGACCCTCGACCGGCACTCGGTACTCAAGTGATTATGGATATATAGTATATGATAAAATTATACTAATTACATGTAATTACATTGATATACAGTAGATATATTCAGTGCCTGTTTACTAAGCTGTTGGTCATTTTGTGCCTGTGAAAACGATGTCCAAGAATCTACACAAAACGATCAACAATGCGGCATGTGTGAATTTAAAATGCACAAAAGTGTGCACCATGAACTGGAACGTTAAAAAAATGACAAACATTGAAACAATCACAACACAAACAACAACAGCAACAGTAACAGCAACAACAACAACAACAACTACTACTACAACAACAACTACTACTACTACTAGTACTACTACTACTACTACTACTACTACTACTACTACTACTACTACGGCTTCTATCTGTGTTAAGAAATATTCTGAAACAAGAAAGTAGACTCAATTTTTCGGAAAAATAAATATTTCTAGACTCGATTTTTGTCAAAAAAACACGTTTTCTGTTAAATACGCATTAAGTTCTAATTTGAAGGGCCCTGCCACAAAGAGAAAGAAAGAGAGAGAGAGAGAGAGAAAGATAAAGAGAAAGAGCGCGCCCCCTTAATGACAAACTTGACGTCATCTATGACCCCTTTCCATGATACGTACGTAGCGCAAAAGCTTCAGTTTGCTTAAATCGGTTTCAAAAAAATTGTCCCCAACCTGTCCTCTCGGGTGGTCTGAAACTGGTCTGAAACCCTTTAGAAGTCCCATGGCAGCCTTCAACTTTGAGCCTCCCTCCCTCCCTCCTTCCCTCCCTCCCTCCCCTCATCTCAGATCCTTGAGCATTGTACCATGATAGAACATTATACAACATCCGTGGTTCCACTTTGCTTCCAAAAAGGCTCAAAACTTACATTTTTGGTTCAAAAACCTGAAGTTCTGAACCGTCAGCACAAAACGCATGTGGAGCTGCAAAAGTGATATGGTCACTGATGGTCATTGGAAGTTATTGGAGAACATGGAGTGGATGCGTGAAGAGGAGCTTTTAATTCGGCACCACTACGGCCGCAATTAGGTACTATTGGACGCACCGAATTACGACCATAATGGTACCGAATTACAAGCGAGCCTTCATTATCCTGTAGACCCCGTACGTATCTCACTGACAGTCCCCACATGGAATGACGCGGCACAAGGGCCGCATTGTTTAATCTTGCGATCAAAAATCCGCTTTTAGACAATGACCCTTGGATTTCCAGGGTGCAGGTGTAAAATGACAAACTTGACGTCATCTATGACCCCTTTCCATGATACGTACGTAGAGCAAAAGCTTCAGTTTGCTTAAATCGGTTTCAAAAAAAATTGTCCCCAACCTGTCCTCTCGGGTGGTCTGAAACTGGTCTGAAACCCTTTAGAAGTCCCATGGCAGCCTTCAACTTTGAGCCTCCCTCCCTCTTTCCCTCCCTCCCTCCCCTCATCTCAGATTCTTGAGCATTGTACCATGATAGAACATTATACAACATCCGTGGTTCCACTTTGCTTCCAAAAAGGTTCAGAACTTACATTTTTGGCTCAAAAACCTGAAGTTCCGAACCGTCAGCACAAAACGCATGTGGAGCTGCAAAAGTGATATGGTCACTGATGGTCATCGGAAGTTATTGGAGAACATGGAGTGGATGCATGAAGAGGAATTTATAATTAGGTACCACGACGGCCGCAATTAGGTACTATTGGACGCACCGAATTACGACCATAATGGTACCGCATTAAAAGCGAGCCTTCATTATCCTGTAGACCCCCCTACGTATCTCACTTACAGACCCCACATGGAATGACGCGGCACAAGGGCCGCATTGTTTAATCTTGCGATCAAACATCCGCTTTTAGACAATGACCCTGGGATCTCCAGGGTGCAGGTGTAAAATGACAAACTTGACATCATCTATGACCCCTTTCCCTGATACGTAAGTAGAGCAAAAGCTTCACTTTGTTTAAATCTTCTTCACAAATTAAGCTGTCCTCTCGGGTGGTCTGAAACTGGTCTAAAACCCTTTAGAAGTCCCATCGCAGCCTTCAACTTTGAGCCTCCCTCCCTCCCTCCCCTCATCTCAGATTCTTGAGCATCATACCATGATAGAACATTGTACAACATCCGGGGGATACGGGTCGAAGAAGTCGAAGACCATGCGCATAGCGATGCGGTTGAGGGATTTAGAGCTCGAGGAAGAGAAAATAGAATAAGAAACCTTATTTAGAGTCTACCTGCCAGCCACATTTCTTAATGAAAAGATTATAGTTAAGAAATAATCTAGAGTCTACTCTAACAAAGCGTCTTTCTTAACAGAGTCATCAGCCGTACTACTACTACTACTACTACTACTGCTACTACTACTACTACTACTACTACTACTACTACTACTACTTGCTGGTCATTCATTCCTATCACCACGAGCCATGCAGAAGAGCCATCCCTATATCTATGTTCCCGGTCCACGTGATCTGTGTCGCACTCATGGCAGAGCAACGGGGCCCCCGGCAAGGTGTCACCCTCGACAAACTCCTCCATGCAAACCTTGGGTCAAACACTGGTCGATTCAATCGATTCTGGTTCTATGGATCTTTTTGGGCGTAAGGATCTTGCAATATCTGGCAGTAATAGTTTGGGTCGCCAAAAAATGTAGATACTTCACCAAAACGTTCGATCTTTCAAGTATGGACACAGGGAATTCTCCCGTGATGTCAAATGAAGCATGGATCTTCACGCTTGGTGTTCTTCAGATCGATGTCCAATCCTGGTATTGACGATGTTTGTTTCTTTATCATGAGGCTACAGTGACTTCTTATGAGAACATCTCCCGAATTTCGGCTGGCAGGGTCCCCTCAAACCTCTAAAACATCGCCCAAGCCGGGAAATGCCGACACCAAAAAGCTCAACGGAAAGGTGGAGCATTGAATTTCATGGCCCAATTTGGGGTGCTGGTTTATTCTTTGGGTGCTCGTCTACCCCTGAGTCCGAGTGGTGGATATCTCTTCAGAGTGGTCAGGGGCTCTGTTCCCTTCAGCGAGCGAGCTCAACCGTTCCATCGAACGATTTAGCCTCTGAACCCGGGAACCGGCCATTGGAGGTAGAAAACCCGGAAAACCATGTGGGGAAACCAACTGAAGCTACCTCCAAGGTACCCAAAGGTTTCTGAACCTTTTTGGGAGCCAAATTGCAGATTCATTTGCTCCACACTCCAAAATGCAAATCCAATTGCTCCATGTTTCAATGTCCGAACGGCCATAACGGACGCCGCGGTCGTTCTGTTTCTAACCCAGGTCCTGCGAGTCGGAAGAAGCGACTCGAACACCCGTCGAAGCGGCTTTTGAACATCACCGGCGTTGGAAATCAACCAACGAACGGAATCGCTTCCGAAGAGATGCGACATGCGAAGACCCCAGCGACCCAGCGATGGTTCTTCCGAGCAAACAAAGACGCCGGTACCGAACCCAGGACCGAACGCGTCCGGGCGGAGCTCTGCGCTTTGGCGCGTGTGTGGGGAGCTTTATAGGTCCGGCCAAGAAAGGAGCGTAGCCAAGGTACCATGCACTTCAAGTGCTCCACGTTGCCGGCCTATAGGTCTGGAGAGGTCTGGAGGTCTCGGGCAGTTGCCAAAGAATTCTGATCAAATCCAGGGAGTTTCAGTGGGGGTACTGAGATACGTTGCCTACCAAACATGATCCATGCAAGTATAGGAGTTCCAAGTGGTCAGGTGCGTCCATTGGTGCTTGGGGCGTCCAGCCCTTTGGATCCCTTTGGACCGATTTCGATGCAGCGATGCTGATGGACCCTCCGCTGGTGGAGCGTCGTTCACGACGCGACGGGGGATATGAGACCCGATTCTGTCCTACATGGCCTACATGGCGATGGATCACCACCAAGCAATGAACCACCAAAACACTCGGCTGGGCTAAAAAGCACAAAAACACTGTCTGCTTGGGGGAGTCTTCATGTGGGATGGCATGATCCTCTGAATGCTTTCAGGGCCTCAGGCCAGCAGGATGCTATCAGGGTCACCTTCCACTGAGACGGCGTCTACCCGGTTCGTTCTGCCTCGTGACGGGCGCCTCACCTAGCAGTCAATAGTGAAACAGTCATAGCAGGAGGCTTGCCTCGCAACAGTTGCAGGAGTGCAACTTTGGGTAGGTGGTCAACCCAATCAATGTTCGAGACAAACACCAGAGTTGTTGGGTTGTCTAATATTGACCACTCTTGCAACCACGTAGTTTCATGTGGTTTCGCCATGTGTTCCTCCATGATAAAATCAATGGGAATAAACCAGCAGCCAGAACCTTCCCACTAACCTTTTTGGAGTCCCTAAGTTGGTCCCTAAGTGACCTTTTACAGGTCTTTCCATGACCTCAAACCAGGTTCCAAATGCTCCAGGTTCCTTGACCCGTCACGCGGACTCTTCGCGTGCACCTCGCGACGGCCAGTGCTGGTACTGTGGAAGGTGTGACCTTGGGACGCATCCGCCATACCAGGACGGGTAAGCCCGTCACTGGAATACAGCTTACCACGTTTGAGTGATATTTCTGCACATGTTTCTGCAGAAGTGTTTGGCACCGAAAACCGGCTTCGCACACAGGAAGAACCGCAGGAGCCAGCAGGTATAGTTTGAATACGCATTTGCAGTATGGATTCACTCCTCGAGACCGCCAACCCTGTACCCTGTGAATCCGACGTATACCGGTAGTTTGTACCCTGTGACCCTAGATCGAAGTTGGTGGATCAAAAACCACCTGTTACATCGAAGAATCAGACTAAGGTCTAAACCAAACGCTCGTCGCCCTCGATGCATGGCCAAAAAGCCCTGTCATAAGTGAGGACACTGGGCATGCATGAAGACTTCCAAAACCAACAAACGGATCTGTAGCTCAAAATGTAAATAGGGAGACCTCCCAGTTCCACCTCCCGGAAGGTTCGGGAAGGTTCGACCCAAAATGACCCCAGTCTACCGAGTCTACCGTCTACCCATTGGGACAAGGGATGCCAAGGGATGCCAGGGGGTCTTCCCATTAAAGACACACCCATTGTGCTTGGTACACTTCGAAAAGCCAACGTCTAGAGTCTAGGCCCACGTCGTGGATCTGTCCCGCCCGCAGCCGACGACGTGAGACCGACCGCAGCACTGGGTGTCCCCGACCAATCGTATGACCTTCGATGACCTCATGATCCAGACCTGCACGGGAGCGCTGTCGCGCGCGCTCGCACCGCGTACCGGAGCGGACGTGGGGTGCCGTGGGACGTCGACCGGAGCACCGGGCATGGCGTATTTGTTCGGTGCGTAGGACATGGTTCGGGTCGATGGAGACCTGGAGCCGGGACATGGTCCAAGAGCCACGTACCTCTTTCTGTTTGTAAGGAAAAAGAAAAAAGAACGTCCCAATAAGCTATGCTCAGCCAGCCGAAGTCACCGGGTACATGCTGGGAAAGCCTGGTAGTCCTTGTGCCATGATGCTCGAATGAAATCCTTTGCAAGCTTCCTCGATGCAAACGCTAGCAAATGTGCACAACTCTGCCTAGTGACCTAGTGGAGGGTTTTGCCTAGTGGAGGCCAACCCGCCCTGCACAGCGGTCGGTGACTGAGAGCTTTGGGATGCAAAACAAAGCCCAGAATCACTTGGAGATGCCTGCAAAGGCTCAACCTTGAGCCTCGTGCTAATTGCCTCTGGAGGTGAATGCTTTGGATGTAGCGGTTCATGCACTTGGTCCAAAGGCATCACTTGGGGCCTAGGGTTTTGGATGGTCTCTGTGCCCTTTTCATGCAACGTGAGACCTGCAGAGCCGGGGCGGCGCAACATACCGCGGTTCAGCGCCGAAAGGCCAAACGGCGCAGCGCAGCAGAGACGCTGGTGCTCGTGACACGTCTCTGGTGCAGACAAAGGAAAGAAAGCTGCCCGCAAGCTGATCGATCTCCTCCTTCGTCCGATGAGGACTCCACCTCCAAGCATGGCGATTGGCTCTGGCGTGGGCCCCTGAAAGCAAAAGTCAGCGGCGCGCACTGAAGGGGCAAGGGTTCTTGATCGAGGGGCCTTTTTACAGCAAGCCTTTTGATCTTTTCGGAACGCCATTGCCTTGGTGCTCTTTTCCTTTTCTGGATTGACTCCTTGACATCTCAGCAAGTGTGGCTGGACGGGGCAGGTCTCGCCCGCTCCAAATGTGACGTGTCCATGGGATTCCTTTCGAACGGTGGAGTTGCGAGTGGCGAGGTGACCGACTTGAAGAAACCTGTCTGGTAAATGGATTAAACCGATAGTGACCACCCAAATCGCAATAATTCAACCATGTATCAAATGCCTGCACCAGAAACACCAGAAACACGTGAGGCATATATCCTCTAAGTGCCACACAACCTCAAGGGTTTAGTCTATAAAACCTCAAAATCAGGTGAATCAACACTCAACTCTCACCTGCCTCTGCCTCCTCCCCCACTCTCCACCGTCCCGGTCTCCACTGGTCTCCACCGTTCGGCACCTCGACAGAAGGAGTCGTCCTCCGAATCGGAGTCCGAGTCGCGCGGCTCCTGGCCCGCTCCGAGCGGGTCGTGGAGTGATCCCGCTCCGGGTCCCTGCGGGGTTCATTTGCGTGTTTTCGTTTCCGGTATCTACCTGGAGCATTTTTGTCTGGATGTGTTGATAGTCCCAGATAGTAGTCTAGTCCGACATCCATTCGGAGGAGTACCCCCCCTACACCGTGGGAGTCAAAAAAGGTTCTTCGAATGCATGTTAAAGCCATGATTAATCGGGCCTTCATCTGGGACGCGTCTAAATTTAATCATCTTGATTGAATCGATTGGTGGTAGGTTTGGGCAATCCTTTGACCAGTTCATCCTGAAAACGCCGTCAGTGTCTGAGTCATCTCTTGGTGGAAGATGGCTCTGACAAAGAACCAGGCTTGGAATGGACGTCCATGAGTGTCAACTGACACCACTTCGAACGCACGTTCCACAGTGAGTTCTCTCCAGAAGTGACCTGCGGCAGATGGCCAGGTGCCGTTTTGGCCTCCGAAAACGCGGCGCTGGTCGGTCGGTCTGCCAGGCCCTCTGGACGATTCACCAAGCAAACGACTCGCTCCAGCACCGCATCGAACGTAGTGCTTGTCCGGATTTCGAATCCTGTGGCGCAAATGCGAAAAGTCATGACTCAGATGCTCTAAAATGACTCATATGCGCGCACATGCACTAATTGTTGACTGTATTGTATGTGTTACATATGTGGGATGCCAGGCCTCCTTTGCCCTACAAAAATCGCACCTGCCATTGATGCCTCGTTTCCACGGTCACATTGGTGATCTCATCTTGGAAGGCCTTCTGCTTCTCATCCTTCTGATTTTCTCTGAAGAACATGCTCTTGCTTCTGCTTCGCTCCCTCCTTCCCAAGCTCAGTAAGCTTGGTGTTGCAGAGCACACTGATGCACCAATTGAGCCTCTCGAAAGGATTTGACCACATGGTCTCGAAAGGAGTCCCTTTTCAGGCATCCCAGAACGAGATGGCGATCTCGCTTCCAATCGGTTGTGCACATAAGAATCCACCTGAGAAACTTATTGAAGATCAAAATCCTTCGGAAGGAGCACGTCCAAAGTCAAAAGGGCAAGCTTCAAGGAGATATGTTCTCAGTTCCCACCCAACAAAAACACCCTGGATGTAAAAATCCGCATTGGACCAAAAACAATAAAACATACTCTGTCCCCCATCCTATGCTTATGGAACTTGGGTATCTCCATGATCCTTTCGTTGAGGGCAAATTCCCAACGAGGCCGTCAGACACGCCATTGGTACATAATATCATGGATTCAATTGACCAGTTAGGATTCCAGAACACTGCTCCATCCTGGAAACATGGCATTCAAACATGTTGATATTTAATGATATATTAATTCCCGAGAATCCATCACTGAAACCAGGGCGAAATGATATTAAGGTATATATATCTGATGCGTTCCCTCAGCCCTGGTCTAACACGGCATCAATCAGCATGGTAATTACCATGGCATCACTGGCCGGTTTTGACCACCCAGGCACCTCACCGACCCCAGAAAATGGACAGATTGCTCTGGATACGGGATGCCAGCCTACCATGGTTTATGCTGGGCGCACAAGCGCGCCAACGCACAGACTCGATCATAATCCTCTCCGCCCCAAACACTCACCGACCCTGGGATCCTTTGGTCTAATCAGGACCGGACCGGGTACAGCTTCAGGGGGAACCTTTTGACTCACATGCCCGAACGGGGACAGGAGCCCCACATCCTCAGGTTCAGTGCCTTGGGGTGCGTGAAATTGGGTCTTTCCCCACCGAACCTGACGATGCGGAACAGGAGCCCGTTCGGGCCATCGCTGGACGGCTCGTCGCCGGTGTTCTCCTGCGCTTGATGCACGCGACCCTGGAAGGGCACCGTGTCGTTGCTCGCCTGAGCGATGTTCTGGATCCACATCGAACATGAACTCCCCTGTAGACCACTCAAGGTGGCGATTCCATGGGGCACTTGGAGAGTGTTGGGGGTTTTTGACCCACATATATATCCACCGTTTGTTTTCATCCACCAATCACTGATGATGTGTGGGGAAAGTGTTCCCCAGAACGTTTAGTCACACTACTGATTAGTGAGCGTACCCTCTACCAGTGTCACCCCTTTATAGTAGTGAACATGGCATTAGGCTTTTCGCATGTCAAAATATGTTTGTGTGTGGGGTTCATGTTTGTGTGGTCCGTGTCGGTCCGTGTCACCCTTCTAAGAACTGAGCCTTCACAAACATCTTGTCCAGAAAAACATGCTAAACCCATTTCTTGGTTGCCTCTTCCGACCTCTTCCCTTAAGCACCGTTTGCTTTGAGTTGTGTTTGCTGGGCCTTTTTTCCCCTGTTCTGCCTGTTCTCAGGCCCTGGGGTCGCCTCCAAGGTGCCTCATGTCGCCTCCAAGGTGCCAAGTGTCCGACGACGGCCCCGCCCAAGCTGCAAATCCACAGCGCCGTCTGCAGGCGAAGCGAAGGCGTCGTTATGCGTTGGGGCGGGTTTGGAGACGTCTCACGTCCCGCCCATTTGCATCGCCACAAAAAGCCCCCACGCAACTCTTGGAGACGTCTCACTTCGCCCCACTTCGTTGCCCCAAAAAGCCCCACGCATCCCCACACAACTCGTACTGAAAACTGGTGCGCTCTGCTGAAACGTGAAGGCGACCCGTACGTCAGACGGACGGACAATGGCCACGTTTGAAGAAACAAAACGAACCCGTTTGTAGCCCACGCTTTCGGATCGAGTACACTGTTTCTTCCAAATAAGTTAATGTATTCTACGAATTGCGTTCCGATATTTGGATTTGGGATTGAGATCATTTGGAAGAGCTGGTCCAAGAATACCATTTTACCTTCTTATCTTGAACCATACCACATCGACGACATCGACCATTCTGGAGATGTGACCTGTGACTCCAGTGGGATGTTCAGCACGAATTTGCCCATGACGATGGACAGTCTTCGTCACCGACTGAGGCCCGTTTGGGCTCTACTTTTGGAGACATAGGTGGAAGAGGTACTTTGCAATTGGCAATTGCTGTATCCTTTTCTTGAACAATTCCTATCCAATATTCCTACTACATGTTCATTGATGAAGCTTAGTTGCTCCCGTGGGACACGCTGTCTGTATCTCTGCACGTGTGTACCTTGATCGTCAACAAGAGACGTAGGCTTAGAGTTGATGTTCCATCTCTCACCAGCCTTGCGTTGTCTTGTACACTGCACAAGGAAAATGCACTGTAGGATCTTGTAGCAAGTAACAGCCCTAAACAAACAGGAAAATGAATCTGTTTGGGATGTGTTTGGAAGTTGGAACAAGTCAAAATCTGTATATGGTTCTGTATGTTACTATCCTTCAAACCTCATCCACATGATGCACCTCTTCGCCTCTCGTTCTCAGCCCTTTGTACCTCCGGTTAGACCAAGTAATAGCTCCTTCAGAATTGGCTAACATCGCAAGGGCACATGGTTGGCAAAACCTGATACAAACCACTGGCGCATGGAGCCAAGAGTCTTGGCCAGGCCCAGACCGTCCATGTGTAGCTGTACATTATGCCCATCCATGTGGCAAAACTCTTCCAGTCCCATTCGTCATATATACATTCTACTCTATGAAAATGACCCATCCATGTGGCAAAACTCGAACCCAGTCCCATTCGTCTGGTCAGGGATCTCAGACCAGATGAGGGCTGACTATAGTGCGGGCTTTGGAGGTCGTCCGGTGGAAAAACGGCCTGCCCGCAATTGAAAGAGGCAGCCATCTGGAGCCTCAGTTGCCCCGCGTGACGCTGGTTGCCCCGCCCCGCGACGAGACCTTTGGCGGGGGGGAAACGCTGATTCAATGAAAGCCTGCCCCTGACATGATTTAAAGTATCCCAAAATGGCAGATCGTTTTTTGGAGGAAACGCTCGTGGATGGGCGTTTAAGTAGGACTGTGGAAGAACAGGAGAGCGAGGAGAGATTTGGGAACTTTGGAGTGGCGATCGAAGCGCCCTGTTTGCACAGGGCGAAGCGCGAAGCACTGGTGGATTTGGTGGCTTTGGAGGTGACCGAGGTGACCCTCTTTCTTCAGGCTCACAATTTTGCTTTACATGAAATTCGATTCAATTCCTATATCTGCAGTTCTGGTTGCACAGATTATGGTATGGTCATGAAACATGTAAGTATATCAAATCGTCTTGGGTCATTGCTTTGCAATGCCTCTGTGTTTTTAAGACCGCATCCAACATTTCTGCAGGAAGGCGGCAGGTCGGTCCTTCTTTCTGTTCTGACCAACGCACTTTTCATCCACTGCCCTCTTAGAACCCAAAGCGTTCTGCAAGGCTTTTTCGCTCGCACGAGTGCAACGTCCTCTGTTTTGGGCTTGCAGCATCCTAGTCTGGCACTCCGCAGCTGGCTGCAGGCAGGGAACGACATAAGGGAAGGTACTACACTGGCTGCAGGCTATGGCGCAGTTTGATGACCCCAAACAAATGAGGTTGTGAAACCAAACTTAGATGGATGCGCCACTATCAACAAGCTGTGTATGGTTGTGTAGAGTGTGTTGCGCATTTAGACCAGAAGATCGAGCGAAAACAGAATGGACGTATTGTTGCAAGTGCCGCTTTGAAGACACACATCTTCCATTCGGACGCTGTTTTTGGTGTCCCAGGTCGGCTCTGAAGAAACCTGAAACTTCCAGAGATAGACAGATAGGGAGACCTTTCACAGATAGGGAGACCCCTGGTGTTTCACAGATAGGAAGACCTTGCTCGCCATGGCCCCGGTCCCCGAGTAGACTGGTCAGTCGAAAGCGAGTCCCAAGCCGGAGGAGGAACGCCGGTTCGATCTCCCTAGTTGAGCGACACACCCAAATGGTCCTTTCATGTCTTTTCCTTCGTTGTAATGTAATAGTGGATGTTGTCGGGACTGCGCCATGATGTTCAGACGACTATAGTCATCCTGGACAGGTTGGATGATTGGAAACTCAAAGAATAGAAAACTGACGAACATTGTTCAGGTTTTGGGATTGGTTCATAGTCTATCCACTCCACGATGATCATAAACAAAGGGTACTCTACCGGTGCTTCTTTGTTTTCCCCGGTGGCTCGCCCGCCCATCACGTTCAAACGCTGCGGGAGGTGAAACGAGACAGGCCCAATTCTGGCGTGGAGTCTGAAGTGACTGGGTTGACACCGAAAACATCCCCAAAACACCCTGTCATTGGCTTGCTTTCCCACATGCACAGGACTTTGAAACAGTTCCTGACCACTCACCTCAGCCACCTCACCTCAGGAAGATGTCACCGGGAAGAGCGACTGGGACGTCTCTCTCCGTCCACGGGCGCCACGGGCGCCACCGGCGCCGGTGAGGGTAAGCTGTTCCTGGCGGAAAAGAGTCCAGCTTCAGCGCTCCGTGAAAACAGGGCCTAGACCCCCGGTCCCTCCTTTCACCGGCTCCGCTGGGGTCCAGGTTGGTCCAAAGCCCTACCGAACGGATTCGGGTCCAACCCCGAACGGAACGGAGGGACTGGACTAGCCTCGGTGGGATTCACTCCTTGGAGTTATTGACCAAGTTCGGAGCGGACTAAGTCCTGCACTTGAGTCAAGTTCGGAGCGGTGTGGACGAATGAATCACTGAATCGCTGTGCCGCCGGCATGGAATCAATGGGTGGGCACAAAATATGTGCGGTGCAGGCAGGTGATGGCATCTGGGCACATGCTTCTGGTGCTTCCAAAGGTTTTACAATTTTGATAGGTGTTCAGTCCAGGCCGGACGCCTCGCCGGCAACAAGAGCCTTGTCTTGTGCTGGGCAAAGAGCTGGTCTTGCTGGCAACAAGGTGGGTCAAGTTCTACTTTGAAGATCTGTGAAGGATAAGTCCCACCGGGGGTCTTCTGGGTCTTCTCTTTTTCAAGCCCCACGCACGACGCACACCCAACAATATCATGTCTGTGCCTGACTCTTTAAGTATATGAAACTGAAGGAAAACTTTCAATCTTGTCCATCTTGCAATCGTTGATTTTCTTCAGCTATGTTACGTTTTCAATTTTTCTCTAATGTCTTCAACTTGCAGAGCCTTCCAGGGATGCAAAAGTAACCCAAACACCTCGAGCTCGTCTTCGCTGCTTTTCTCCGACACGACACGCGTCAGCCACGCCGCAGGTCCTGGGTGTCCGTGGGGTCCGCGGCATCAAGGGTGGCAGGGCACCGTGCCTCGCTTCGGCGCGCGACGAGACGCGGCGAAACCGGTAGACGCGACCCAGACGGGACCCTGGACCCTCATATGCAGGGGTCGGACCCTCAAATCCCCATGGTTTTCACGGAGCGTGTGGGTAAGGCAAAACCGGCCAAACTGCCCAGACGGTTTGGAGGGACCGGGAAAGGGCTGTTTTCACGGAGCCTCCGGGCTTTGTTGAGGGTTTCTTTGTTTTGCCACACAGCTCGACCCGTTGAGACGTGCAGTGACATACGACTGACGTACGAGGACCGCTTTCAAGGCCATCTACCGAGATCAGTTTCGGGTCCTTTGTGTCTCTTGGAATCGGTTCGGATCCCCATGTGCAAAAGGTTGCCCAATTTGTCAACGGTGTCAAACAATAGCGCAAGTTGCAGGCACGGTTACCAAGCGCTTTCCTCGACATGAAAAGAATATTGAAACTTGAATTGTAGCAGATTTTGTTTACATCAACATGGATTTTCAGGCTCTGAGCCAAGCTTCCACCAGCTGGAAGCCGCTTCCTGCCCCCAAAGGAACCAAACCTTTCGAGGGATGCATTCATCAAGAGCCTACAGCCCTAAGATTAGCAGTAGATCACCTACCCTCCGAAATGTATTGGAACCGGTTTCAATCTGTATTTGGGGACCACTATGTAGAGCATATGCACAGTGAAAGACTATTACGTAGACCAACCCTCAACCCTCTGGTTCACTTGTGTTTTGTTTTGGCATGTTACATCGCATCCAGTTGCAAGTGAGGGAGGAATTCACATGATTTGGTGTTGCAACACTACATCAACAATGTGTCCCCAAATGTCTCAATTAGTTGAAAAGCATAGCGGCTTTTTCATGTGTAGCATCCCTTCGTCGTTGGAAGGGACCAGTGATGAATCAAGCTTCCCGTCCTTTCAAATCAACTCGGTAAAAAAACATAGGGCACTCGACACATGTCGATATACATGGTTCACGGATAAACAACCTCTCATGGGATCCAGTGTTTTCCATCCAGACCTGACCACTGCCCACAGAGAATCGGTGCACTTGCACCTCCACATCGCAAAATCGGTCAACAGCTTGGATAGAATTATACGTCATTTCAAGTGCAAAAGAACTCTTCTTCCTGTTGAGATGAAGGATGCTTCAAAGCAGTTCTTCATAACAGTTTTGAAGAACTGCATTGAATATCCTTCATCTGGATTCAAAGCAGTTTGTCAAACTCTTCAGGCCAACCGGCGCCTCACCCTTCACGACCCACGCCCCTGAGCTCTCCAAGCTCGCCCATCTTGGGCAGCACGCCGTCACCACCTGACGGAAAACACGGTCAACATGCGAAATGGAGCGGATCCGTTGGAATCCACGTGGCTGATCAGCCCCCTTTTGCCTGACAACAAAAACATTCAAGAACGGTTTGTATTTTTTTTACTTGAAGGCGATTAACCAGTTTGACAGAGATCCGCAGGGCAACATGGGCTGGTTTAGGCACGAAACGTGGCATCTCCAGCAACTGTCCAGTGACACATCTGTGAAGGAAAATGTGGTTGTTCAGTTCTAAAGCTGGATGTGTTGAGCATCTCTTGACTTCTTCGCTGTGCAAGTTCCATGGATCCTCCATGCGTTGAGCCTGCTATAGCTGCACCCGGGTCTGACAACGTCCGTGGCATCACATCTATCCCAAACAACGGTGGCTGGCCGCCCAGCCAACTGACACCCATCAAAAACAACAATGAGAATCCTAAGCTGTTTCATGACATGGATGCCCTTTCAAACACCTCGCAACTGAAGTGGAATTTGCATGAACCTTCCAAATCCGTTGCAAATTCGGGGTCCTCCATAGGTGTCGGAGGCTTCACACTTCACACACCTCTTGTTCATTCCAATTCTTTTCCAAACACCCAACGCATCTTGCGTCCGAACTCATCCAGTGGCGTGGCGGTGCTGTCATGAACTCACCCTGAAACCTCCTCACTGCTCTGACCGACTTCAAGAGACTGTCGATCCCCAAACCCTGCCTTCTTAAGAGCCTAGACTGGAACGAGAAGAGGTAAAAATACATTGGGCTCAGGTTCATCGGGCTAAATGAATGTAACGATTCCAGTCCCAGCTTGGAGGCCATTGCTCAGTCCTGCGTCGGGCGACACCCCGCGCGCCTACAATTTGATGGTGCGCCTCCTTGAGACCTGACCGTCTTCTCGCCACACCCCAGCTCGGTGTCGTTGTTTCAATAGAACAGAAGATAGATATAGATACAGAAATAGAAGATATAGACAAAGCCGTATATATATTGCCCGGTGAATCCCAGGCAAACCACTATATAGAAGGAACCGCCAGGAACCGCCCTGACGTTCCGATGGTGAAACGTCGTCGAACTGGAACCACGACGACACCCAGCGACCGCGTGGGAACGTTCTATATATATATATATATATATGATTTCCATATACAATCATGACATCATGTCGATCTGGCTGGTATAAGTAGCTTCCTTGCAATCGGCTTCTCTGAGTCTAGAGATTGGGGGACATGCAACGGGCTCGCGCTACGTTCGCCCGACGATCCCGACGAGAAGGTCGGT